TCCGAATGGTGTTTGGTTTCATTTGTAATCCAACAGCAGCAGTAGTATAGTAGCAGCAGCAGCAGCAACAACGACAACAACAACAACAACAACCACATGTCAACCGATCCTTTTATTCCATGCGTTTAGCCAAACATAGTCGTGTATTCAGCATAGGGAAGAAAGAAGATAGAAAACTAATTAACTAAGTATAAAAACAAACCAAACCAAACAAAAACAAAAACATTCTGTAATACATTATGTCTACAGAAAGCAGAGGATTCTAGGTATATAAAAAAGAAGGTAATATGATCCAGGCTACAATCCTATAGGATATATGCCCGATCATCGTTAATAAGCCCTCATGACAAGGTAAATTTCAGTGGGTATTAATTAATTAAATAAACAGACACGGGTCTCGTTGGCTGCAATTTTCAAAGGTGCTATATATCGACAATAATTTTAGTGAAATTTGAAGCATCTAAATCAAGCATGAATTCCTTGAAGAATGCTTAAAATGCTTTCTGGAAATGCTCAGTTAAGATTGAGTATCCTTCAGTGGTTTTAACGGCTAACTTCATATGTTTTTGCAGCACCCATTTCATCAAACGCACGCATATTAGAAATTTTTTTGAGAAATTCATACCATTCAGCCTTTCTAATGACCGGTTTAATACGCGTTATATGAAATAGATATGGTCGTTATATTGTCTATTTAACTGAATGATGTGTGTTTGATATGAGTAAACACCTTACAATTTCATCATACATGTCCTGGGTATTCTTATTCAGGACCCATCCATTGAATAACATAATGTAAACAACTACACGAGAGTGTATTCGGAAATGCCCCCAATCATAAAAAACATGATAATGTTGGAGCATAATTCACACATCTTTTCACAAATATTCTGTATCTTTCTTATCCTGTTAATTTTGATACATTTTGTATAACAATGAGAGAAAACGATCCCTTGGAGATTTAATATTAAGCAAATAAAAGATAGATATTGCCATGGTTCCAGACGATTGCGTCGTGTACGGCTTAATTACCCTCATTTCTAAAACTTGTTAATTACGGTGGATTTCAAACAAATTGATTTTGTTATCCAAAGGAAATGAAAGGGATCATCTCTTGAGATCACGTGGAATTTCTCTAATCATAATGAAATCTTTCCTTACTGTGGGAGGCATCACAATTCTTGAATACCATTGTCATAAATAAGTATAAAGTTGAAGACTGTATACTGTACACCATGACGTTTGCGTATCAGCCACAGGGTGAAGCTGGCGTACACCCCCCTCCCCCTATTTTTGGTGAGGATTCCGCAAAATAATTATGTACTACATGTACCAATTTTCTGGATAGCTACTGTGGCAGTCCCACAAATAATCTCAAATGAACAATTATACAAGGATGGTGTGGATTTGTTAAGAGTGGACATGTGACCAGGCATAACTTTAACCTATCGAGTTACCGGTCATTAACATTTTCTATTGACTGGCCGGTTATCTAACTTTGTCAGTAGTCTCTAGGTGTTTGGAATTTGATGGGTGTGATTCGTCAAATAAACAAGGATCCTCGTCACCATACACGTCATCACAACATGATAATGTTTGAGCATAATCCATAATAGGTGCTCCGAAAAAAGTCCAACACCTTTGGCTAAAGCATCGGATGCTCCAAAGGTACATTGTGGAAATACATGTAATTTCTTACTAACGCCTACACTTAACACATTATATGGTATACAAATGATACACAATAGTGAGGGCATTAGTAAGAATTACCCACAGTCTAACACGCCCGAGGCGATAACCGAGTGTGTTTGGACTGTTTCGAAGGTAAGGGTGTGGGTAATTTTACTAATGCCCTCACAAAATTATGTGTCTTATTTTTTTAATGAGATTATATTTTATTTGTTTTATAAAATGATGTTTAATAACATGGTTTTACTAATGAACGGTCATTAGTATTTGCTATTGGCCGGTCATTAGTAAAATTACGAGCGCTATAGAAATGACTTTATTGTATTGTACTGTTTAAGGCAAAATAAATGCCTGATCACGTGTACACTCTCAACGAATCATAAGATTCGCTTCATCATACTATTATGCTTGCTTTTCTACTTCATTCAGTTACCATCAAGCCATGTTTAAATAAATGTTATCAATTAATATTTTGACTTTTACCTCAAATTAACCTAGTCCATGTAGTCTCTGTTGGATTGTTGGTAATTTCTAATTCATAATGAAAAACATATATCATTTATATTATGCATGTTGTCCAACTTGATATATTACGATGATTTGCAGAATAGAATAGTGGTTTATTGGATACAAACGTCACAGATAAAATGTTCTATCACATGATTAATACAGAGTTTGCGGTATAAAATTAAGGTGTCAATTTAAGTTGTTTGTGATTTAAAAGGGAGATCAGAAGCATGAAGAAACAAGATGCTAGAATTAAAATCGAGTGAATGAAATAAGAAATGTATTAGAGAAAATCATCGTGCTTCATGTCAGATTACATGAACGGGAGAAGTGAGATTTTATACGCTATTCAATGTGTCTATACACCGCTTTAATTTATTCCAACTCCGTCTCATCTCTGACAGACACCAAGAGGAGAAATCGCTGGCTGAAACAGAACACAAAACAAGAAAAGAAACCCTTTATTCGAAATTCTAATACTGATATCCCACTTAGTTCAAAACAGTACATCCATAATTATAGGTGCTCACTGTAGTTTGAGAGAATGTATGGACAGCTAGAGGGATTAAAAAAATATCACACGTCTGTCTAGATATGGCCTAAGAGAAACAGAGAGCGGGAGGGATTGTGGGAGGATGAGAGTTGGAGAGAGAGAGAGAGATATGTTGAAGATATCAGTCACTCCCTCATCTGTCCTAGGGTGCGTTCAATCGAATTTTCGAAGCTAGAATCACAAACATGAATCACAAATCAAAACGCCATTACAAAAAACAAGGTCACTGCGGTTAGCGTTCAAGCGATTTTTCATCAACGCTGATTCTAGCTCATTTCGAGCCCAGCCACTGCGGATCACACTTGCAGTTTGACCCAGGAAGTAAAGGTCAACTTCAGCGCGCGCTTTTTGGAATTGTTTACGGCCGACTGTCGACTGCTGTTTTGAGCATAGATCGCAATAATAAAACAAAGAATGAGAAGGTGATGGAAGGAAGAAACAAACAATAACATAAGGAAAGACAGAAAGAGAAAGTGATAGAATGATTGAAACAAAGAATAACATAAGAGAAAGTGATAGAATTATAAAAACAAAGAACAACATAAGAGAAGGTGATAGAATGCTTAAAACAAAGAATTACATTAAAAATACTGATAGAAGGAAAAAAAAACAAAGATTAACATAAGAATAGAAGGAAGAAACAAAGAATAACATAAGGAAAGACAGAAAGAGAAAGTGATAGAATGCTTAAAACAAAGAATTACATTAAAAATACTGATAGAAGGAAAAAAAAAACAAAGATTAACATAAGAATAGAAGGAAGAAACAAAGAATAACATAAGGAAAGACAGAAAAAGAAAAAGATAGAAGGAAAACAAGGTATAACATAACGGAACAGGCCACGATAAAGAGCATGGTATAGTAAACGCAAATTGCATGAAAAACAGGCGCGCGGTTTTTGCCCAAACCGGAACAGGCCCCGTCATACAATCATGATTGAGAACTCTGTCCGTTCAATTGAATTTTAGCGACCGTGATTCTGCAGAATCATGATACAAAACGCATCTTTGTCAGCGTTTCATGTTTGTGTTTTTAAACACGTTTATTTTTACGACCGACGAAAAAATCGCTTGAACGCATTACGTTTTAAACTAAACGTCTTTAGAAACCGTGATTCTAGGGTGAAAAAGTGTCGATTAAACGCACCCCTACTTAACACCTTGATGGATAATTTATTGACTGTTCCGAGTGACTTAATTCTGGTAGGATAACACCGCACTGCTCCAAGCCAATCCACCGAGGAAGGCTGGTGTAGTATTAGCGCTGCTTACAGATCCATCAAAGTCACGCAGATTCAAATAGCCTCGAAATCCCCTAAATACTTACAACTGCACTTGAACTGCTACTCTCTAATATCAGCTCAAGATACAAAGTGCGTTAACTACTCTTCTGCATGATCTTATTCAAATATCATCGATTTCACATCAGAGACACTGACCCGTTGGTACGGTTGGTACCTAATCCCTTTGAACCTATAGGCAGTTTGTAAAACGTATGTTGTCCAATGTTATGAAGGCTATTTACGCAAAACTCCAGAGTAAGATTACCGAGAAAAACAAACGGGGAATCAGATTATTATCTCAAATATATTTGATAGTTACTTATTAGGACACTTAGATGCTTATCTCTATGAATATATATGTATATATTCCTGTCTGGGAAATTTTCTCGAATTAAGAGTAGTTTAAGGTCAGAAATTAAAAAAATGCAAGTGCTTATTACTTGAAAATAAAAGGCATCGAGATAGCACCTGTAGTCCAGTAGGTTATATATCACATACATCTAATAAAACTCCTAAGGACAGCGCATATATTAATGTTATGTGCAAATATGAGAGATCTCAATGCACTGGACCAACCTGTACTATAAAAAAGCCATTAACTGCACTTTAAATGGCGAGTATATTGTTGAATAGTGGGAGGGTCAGTTAGTAGGTCAAAACAAAAATGTTGAGCCTGGTTCTATTTATTTCTTTAAAAAATAGTTTCACAGTTTCAAAGCATTATCTTTTTGGATTCTGAATTATTTAGGTTTTACTTTTCGTTTTCATGTTCCATTTCTCTTTTCTTTCATTCTCCTTGCTCTCGCATTTATCTTGCTTTCACTCTCGAGTACTCTTCTGGCTTTCTCTTAACATTCCTTCTTTTTCCCTTCTCTCCTCATCTTTTAATCGGTGAAATATTGTTCTACCCGTCACCACATTAATTTCAAGTAAAATTAAAGAAAACAAATTTATGTGACAGCGAATCAGTTCTAGTTAAAACAGCTTGTATTAGTTTCTTGCATAAATTCACAAAATTTAATATTAATGAAATATTACAAGAAAGAAACAAAAACAATTATGTTTATTTGGAATTTGTGAGTTTGGCAAGGACTTATCATAAAATCACCATGCTGCATAATCTCAAGGGTTACTATAAGTCTTCCTTGTGAACAGCTTTAGGGATACAAGTATAGTTATGATCATATTTAAAGGAAACAACAAATATTGTTACAATGACTGCTAGATATTAACTCCTCAAAAAAATGCATAATTTGTAAACATTATTAAATTAAATACATAAACACTTTTTGGGATTTCAGAGATTAAATTACTTGATGTATTCTTAAATATCAAAATATGGAAATTCGCTACGCTTGATTTTCTATTATCAAAACAAAATCTATATGTAAACTTGTGAAGTACATACAATGTGACATAATATCTTTTCAAGTTTAATTCAATTTGTTCCCACATAGTTTTCAAATGTCAGGTATTACTAAGCTCATACAAAATTCATCAATTTTCTTTGTTGATTTAACAATCTCTTTTAAAGTTCATGGTTACTTAATGAAGAAGTTAATTCTATTTATATGTAAGAAAAGGCTGACGACTTAAAAACAATGAATTCATTGCACAGATACAAGGCACTTGTACATCTATATACTATAAATAAATAATGGCATACAAAAACATAAGGCATGTTTATATCTACAAATGACAATTTATAACAAGTATGATTTCAAATATTTCTAAAATATATCTTTGCACAATACAGCAATGACAATGGCTTGCATTTTGTGAAGGTTACTAATGAGGCTGCAGAAGAAGAGATATTCAAATAGTAATTCACTATATGACAAATTTCGTGATTTTCTCTGTCTTGATCAATGAGATATATTCAGGTAAAGTGGTAATATGGTCCTAGCAAAACAAAGAACTTCATTTTGTCAAGTAAAGGGTCTATAATCATAACAAACTATTCTAACTAATCATACACACAATTCAAATGTATCTACCTAAACATACATGTAGTATTCCACTCCTGTATTTCCAACTTCCATGTACTTGTACAAGTAATCACAGGAAGAACAAAAAGTCTGCATCAACCAAATCATGCCTACGAATACATGTTACATAAAACTGCATGCACTAATGGTAAATAAAGCACCCAAAAGAACCTCAAATGTTTAAGGGCCTACACAAAAATCACAACTCTGCTCATGTAAAGCATTGCCAATTTGAAATTAGAATAATACTGTTTTTTCCATATAACCAATGATTCACATTCTGGACTGCTGGAAGAAAATGGACATGAAAAGGGCAGTGATATTACTTTTTACTGCTAAAACATGCTCAATACAGGTACATGTATACAGTTTGAAGTAACTTTAATCAAAAAATGAGGGGTCATTTTGTAAAGTTACAAAACTCTTACTCCAAAGTGTGATTTCCTAATTTGTTTCCTCTTTCAGGAGGGTCTTTACATCTTGACATAGCTGATATGACCTTGACTCTCAACCAATGTTTTACTACTGAAACCAGTCCTTCTACTGCCTGCGGCACACAAGGCATCACTGACATAAGATCGCATCACCACTTAGCTTTTTTAATGTGAACCAGTCTTTGATGTACCATGTGAAAGTAATATCATACAAAAATAAAAGCACAATGAACAGTACATACTTATCATGTCGTCCTTATCATGTCGTCACAGATTTGCTTAGATCGTTTAATAACTCAAAACTGACACTTGGTGTGCAACATGTACTATGCCTTTTGAATAAGACCCCATTCCCTTGCCTGATCCAGTGCTTCTTCAGCTCTGGCTGCAATCCTCTTGTTCTCAGGGCTGTCATCTTTAGTCAGAGCCATCAAGACTTCTAACAGATTGGTTTCTACTATCTTCTTAGCATTCTCCTTCTTGCTTTCTATGATGCTACTAACAATGTGAACTCCTCGGAACTGGATATCCTTGTCAGGGTTGACACAGATGCCTTGCAGAAGCTCCAACCAGGCATCCAACTGCAGGAATGATACAACATTGTTTATTATTAACCTGATGACAATGGGTTAGCTATATTTCCTATAACTTGGAGTCACCTCCTGTGGAACAGGGGAAGAGTGGGTATAAGGACAACCCCAGCTTTTAATAATAATAATACTAATACTTATGGGTTTTTGTATAGCACTCACATATGTCAGACTTGATATGAATTGGAGATGCAATTTAATGGATCATGTTTGCTGTTAAAATGCTTTGACGTCAATATACATGTAGTGCCACTTAAAGGAAAACACTTGAATTTGATTTGATCAGGTAATACTTGCTGTTGTCGTTTTGAATATATCTCGTCTATCCCTACTATGGTGTCTCCCATATTTTATTATGTTGTAGCTGAGACTTTACATGATCGTGGTCATATTTCTGATTTAAGGTGAAGACTGCAAAATTTGCCATTATGGTTTCTACTTGTACCTGTTATATGAATGAAGGGTGGAATTTTTCTTCAAAGTCTGAAATTTCGCATTGACTCTGTGTTATCAGATGATAGGCCGCGTAGTGTAGCAAATCTCCTAATGAGCTTGTAAATACATGTAGATGTGTTATACGAGTGAAGGGGGTGGGATTATTTTTTAAAGACCAAATCTCTCATTGAGTTTTTACATGTGTTATGTCTCGATCACCCTGAATTCAATGTCTACGTTGATTTGATTCTATTTACTATCAGCAATACAGTAATAAATTTCATACAATGTGTTTATATACAAGAAGAGAAAGTATGATTCTAATGTGATCTTTGACCCAATGATTCCTTAATCTTTCCAATTAATATCAATGAAATTTATTACACATTAAAAGCCTAAAAATCATATTTGAGATTACCTCCCTCTTATTGGGTTGATTGATGACCAGGGCCCCATCTTACAAAGAGTTGCGATTGATCCAAATCAATCGTAAGTCCTCCAATCAATGGCAAGTTTGCAGTCTCCTATCTCTTATGTACATAGTTGCTATTGATATCAATCGCAAATAAGTTGCGATCGATATCAACTCTTTGTAAGACGGGCCCCAGGTGAGTTGGCTCCCTTGATATATATAGTTCATCAGTTGGGCCAAAAGTTTTAGGCTTAAATTTATCCTAGCTACTGAAGCTGAGGTTGTCATTATACACACCCCTCCCGATCCACAAAAGGTGACTAAACAGTAGAAAAAACTTTATCCCTCGGAAGAAAATGGAGTTCAATGTCTAGAAAAGCCACATCCCATGCAGAGAGTTCACTGCACTCTTCATCATAGGGTAGGGGAAAACCCAGGTGAAGTTGTCCACCTGCATATCGCAATCAATAATATAGAGAGGATGGACTCGTGGGATTTACAATAATTACCGATTATGATAAATCCCTACCCAGATTAGTCTTGGATCGGTGATATGAAATAACTATATTTTGAGTAAATTTGAACATTTTACTCTTCAATAGACATAAATGTCATCGATTTTCAGTCAGTTAAATGTCATTCACCACGAATTTCATCTCGCACTGCATCCGGCCAAAACAAAGAAGCAGCATTAGAAAGATAACCCTACAGGTAAAAATCACTTACACGTGACACTGCATGTTAATAGATATAGATATATCTTCTTCTTTTCTATCGTTTAAATCTTTCATTATCTCATTCCCAGTGTAATACTAGCCAGCAAGGGCTCGTTTTCTGTAATGAATTTGAGATTGGTTTTCCCCATTTCCAAATTCATATTCTAATGAGGTTTTTGTAGAGAATGATAAAGAGTAGGAGTGATCGATGGCCTGATGGCCGTAACCAAACCACAAGTTCATCAGTAATATGAGCATAATTCAAGGTGACACCGATACGTGAAGAGTAAACGAAGAAAGCTCAATATGGATTTGGTGACGCTGGGTGAAACCTATTTCTTTCTCTTTCTTTCCCGTCCCCAGGCTGACGACAATGACACACTCACTTTGTGATTTCGTGCAAAGACTTTTTATTAATGTACACACAAGGTGACATTCATGCTATTACATTTTCTCCCCACATAAACATTTTGACATAAATAAAACAATGTAATCAGACATTGAATCTTTCTTTTGCTCAATAATTCAAAATGATTGACATGAAGCCAATACATATTTCAGCACACTGATCTTGTACGGGATGTTAAAAAGAACGACAAAATCTTTTCATGAGACCATTTTTTATCATCCAGTTTTGAATGCTAAGACAGGTTTTGAAGAAAGGAAGTGTCCTTTTTTTTTAGTATGGTGATTTTTTTCTTCTTTTTTACACTTGAAAGAGGTGTAGTACAATGTATTTATATAGTAAAATTTGTATCAAAGCAACATTGGCAACTTGGTTTTCAGTCTCTGCCACACCCATGCAACCATACACACACACTCACACACACGCACCCACACATAATTATTATGCCTTACATTATATTCTCTACACCTTTCAAGAGAACAATCCCTAGTTTGATACTGCAGTTTACACATTACTGGCTATTATTACTTTAATCCTATTTACTCTGTCTCTATATCTAAAATCTTTGGTTGGATCAGGGCAATATCAAAGTCACATCTCCCTCATCAGTAACAAAAGTTGAGGTATGGGTAGTGAAGCTAGTGAAAGCACATGCTCATCTAGATAATGAAAATGAACAAATAAGCCCACAGATTACCATATCACTTATGAACAAAGTTTAAAGATAGATAATTTACCTTGAATATTTTGTCACAAACTTCTTCATGTGAAGACAAGATGGCTAGAGTACCTGAAGCTGCCTTGACCAAACCTGGATCTTCTTCACCAGTGTAAAGCATCAATAACTTCACACGATCATTGTCACCTAGATGAAGATTGAATGCCTGCAACAAATAAAAAAATACAAAAGAAAGGTGGCTAATGATAATCTTCTTGACTAGTGAAGATGACAGGAATGATAATGCTTATTCAAGGCCTCACAAACTATACAGTATGTTCTTTTCATCCTTATTCAAGGCCAGGTATGATTCCTTTAGAGAAAGTCACACAGTAAACCATTAATAACTTGTAATACAGGTGTAGATTTATATCTCATCTCATCCTCAAGTCTCTAACGGTGGTTAATCCAGGATGAGAAAGGGGAGGGTAACGAGTCTCACAAATCTCTGATGAGCAGAACAAAAATGGTTACAACCTTTTCATCATTTCTCATTTCTTTAAATTGTTTGCAGTTTGTCTGAAATAAATGAAGTCATGAAATGTCAATGTCTGAAATAGTGAAGTTATGAATCTATGAAATACTTTGTTATACACAAATGTAATAATGAGATTCATGCATGCAAACAATGTGTGCACCCCCCTCCCCCATTAAGTATTCCTCCTATAAGAAGACTGTGAGGGCACACATTTGTTAAGTTCAATTGTCTGTTTCGGATGTACACTGTACTCCTGGGTATGGAGTGGCAAATTTCCTTGTTCCTCTGCAAGGACAGGAAGTTTCATCAATGAATTCATAAAAAATCATAAAAGAGTCATCTTGGAAGCATACTGGACAATTTTTACCTCCATCTGATGGGCTTACATCAACAACATAATAAAATTGAAAAATGTAACTATAATAGAGATGAGTGCATCAAACATTGATGTAATCTTATTTATTGCATTAAGGTATTGAAGGTTAATGTGTGTCTGGCAGTGTCTCTTCTTTGTTCTTAATCTAAGCATATCAGGTTGACCTCTCTTGGTGTCTACTAATGAACAATCTCAAGCCATTAAGAAAAAATGACGGCTTTGGAAATAACGTCAGTTTGATTGAAATATAAAAGATTGAGATGATTATATAAAGTGTCATTGACTTCAAGAAAAAATCTATGAAATAAGAATCAACTTATATTTGGATGTCACCCGACCTCTAAGAATTAAGAGGCATGAGATGAAAACAAATCATCTTGTGAACCCTCTTATGACTGTTAATAGAAGGCCTACACCACAGATGGGCTGGGTGGTAATCAGGTCTCTGGGTCCTCTTGTTTTTTAATTGAAAAACGAGATGAGTAAAATTTTGAGCACTATCTGATTGAAAAATAATGAATTGTCATCAGTGAAACACATATTGAAAAAATTGTCACGCATTTTTCAAGGTCCACTCCAATTTGCTCGGTACAGAAAATTGTATAAACTTTCATTTTCTTAGTTATTGAAGGCGGAATAAAGTTGTTTCATACAGGGGTTGTATAAAAACATATTTGCAGTATCATTTAGGGTGCATGTATGATTGAAAATTTTCTTGAGGGAAAATATTAATTTCTGATTTTTTCTTAGTAAAGAGCAATTTGTAGCGGACCTCCCAAGATCCGTCAGAGTTGCCAATTTGTGTTTAATTGATCACAACTTCAAAAATTTATAACTTTCTCATTTTTATAGGACTTTACACATATTTTTCTCTGACCTGTTCCTCTCTTAAAATCTACTTTATATCAGGGTGGACTTCCCCTTTAATCAGCAGAAAAGGATTTCAACAAAAAGCAATACTCAGATTCAATCACACAAACTGTGCAATTAAAGGGGGAAGGTAACTTTGCCTCAGTTCCAAAACAACAAACAAATCAATTCTTCAATTTAATTATTCATGTCCAAGAACCAAAACATTGACTAGAGAATAAGAATTCCAATAATTTGGCCTCCGAGAAGATAACAATTGCATACTCATGAGTTGAGTTGAAGATTGTACCTCAATATAATTGTTTTTCTTGTTTAAAGTGTCCTTGACTGTTCTTTAATCAATCACACATGTACCCCTGTTTCATCTTTTTCTCTTTAAGTTATCAAATATCATTTTACATTCACTGCTTTCCATATTCATATTGAATGCTCCAACACTACTACACATATGTACAGAACTGTACATGTAAATTGATATTACATTCAAAGAAGAAAATTTCCATTGCATAATTACATGTAAATGTTTTCATTCAATTTGCCTGGCTTTAACAATGCTTTGCCAATGTACATAATGTATACCCTACATTTAATACTACATGTATAAATATTATTCATTCTCCAAAATACAATCTGCACTTCCACAAATATGGTCGATTTTAAGTATATGAATTTTGTAACTAGAAGCATTCTCCATCAAAAGACGACATGTACTAAACCATCCACAAAAAAGTGTTTGAAATGAAAGATTGTTCGGAGCCCCCTTGCCATGCCCGTGAACCCATCATTTTAATAAAAAACAATTACATCCTGAATTGTTACAGCATGCAAGAAATTAGTACGTGTGCTGAAAGAGCAAAATAAAAATCAATGTTTAAGTGTTGCTTTACCTCTGGATAACCATTAAATAAATTGAAAACCTTGGGCTCCATCATGTTCAGAATTCAGAAAATATGAAGTACAAGATATTAACATTCTTTTCATTCTACGTTCATTCATACATGTTGCCTGTATTTAGAAGAAAGCTGGTGAAGAAATTGTTAAAGGAGACAATCACTGCAAAATTCTGTTGTTCCAAATGTTTTGACCTCCATTGAAACTTATTGAGAAGAAAGAATTCATTTTCAACCCAAACATAACTGGTCCTGCGTGTGGGGCTTTATATATGCTATCCTTTATCATTTCATATATACTAAAATGTCAACCATAAGTTCTTTTTTTCCCTTCTTTCCTTGGGTGATTTTGTATATAAACTACAATTACAGTAGTGCACACACACATATTTTGTAATAAGTGGTACCGGTCCCAGACCCAGTAATTCTGTTCCTTAACATCCTCCTTCACAATAGTCATGCAATCATTCAAAGCTAGAAAACAAAACAATGCAAACTGCAGACATGATAATAAAGTGAAACAATCATCACGTAGCATATCAAGCATACCGTAATTATCATTTTTTGTCTGATTTCATTCAAACTTTCACAAGTCTATTCATGTGATTTTTCTGCTTTCTTCTCGAGTAGTTTGCTATCAAGGTTGGATTTACCTTTAAAACACATGCCAAATGTATGTTTAGAGAAGGCTATGCTATAGAAATGTTGTTCAAAACGTGTCAAAATTTGCAATAATTAGAGCCTGTGCGGTCTCTTATAATAGAAGAGGGCTTTCCAGAAATTATAAGGGTGCTTGACCTCAATTCAGGAGATGAAGGAGGTAGGAAAATTGCAAAGATGTTACAAATGTCAAATACACAGTTTTGCACAATTAGATGAACAGATAAAAAGACAAAGTTGAAATATTGACTCTTGACCTCAACTCAGTAAATTTAAAGTAGGTCGAAAAGTTGAAGAAGAAAAAAAATGTGGGCACGATTTGGCTTATCTTTAATCATGCTTTAATCATGTTTGGCTTATCTTTAATCATTTTCAAGTATGAAAAAGTAGAATAATAATATAAACTAGATGAAATTCGACTGCGCGCAGTCGAAAATGATGCCTCCGTCATAGAGCAATTTTACAAACCGAAACGGAAGAAATTTTTCAAATTCAAGTTCAATTGTAATCCATTAACATGTTCTCAGAATATCGTGATTACAAGCAATTTCTCATAAACATATATGACCCTTTGATCTTTGACCTCATGACCCTAAAATCTACTCCGTTCATTGGCTCTGCAAGATTTCCTGAGTTAAATAGTAATCCATCTGTCAGTTCTAATGAGAATGCGTCCACAAGCTATTTTTGCATACATAATGAGCCCATGACCTTTGATCTTATGAACCATTCATTGGCTCTGCAAGATACATAAATGATCTAAGTTTGGCAGGAATCCATCAATCTGTTCTAATGATAATACGATCACAAGCTATTTTTGCATACATAATGAGCCGCATGACCTTGACCTTTACCTCATGACCCCAAAATCTAATCAGTTCATCAGCTCTGCAAGTAACATACATGACCAAAGTTTGGCAGGAATCCATCAATCGGTTGTTCAGATAACGCGATCACGAGCTGTTTTTGCATACATAATGTGCTCTGTGACCTTTGACCTCGTGACCCCAAAATCTAATCAGTTCATTGGCTTTGCAAGATACATACATGACCAAAGTTTGGCAGGAATCCATCAATCGGTTCTTCAGATAACGCGATCACAAGCTGTTTTTGCATACATAATGAGCCCTGTGACCTTTGACCTTTGACCTCGTGACCCCAAAATCTAATCAGTTCATCAGCTCTGCAAGATACATACATGACCAAAGTTTGGCAGGAATCCATCAATCGGTTGTTCAGATAACGCGATCACAAGCTGTTTTTGCATACATAATGAGCCCTGTGACCTTTGACCTTTGACCTACGTGCTCCAAAATGTAATCAGATTGTTTTCCTATAGTGATACACACTATCACTAAGTTTGAAGTTTAAATCTCCAGTGGTTCTTGAGATATCATGATAACAATCTCAATGTATGGAATTTCATAAGTTGACCTCTGTGACCCTTGACCTTTGACATACGTGCTCCAAAATCTAATCAGATCGTCTTCCTATGGTGATACATACTATCCTTAAGTTTTAAGTTTAAATCTCAAATGGTTCTTGAGATATCGCGCTAACAAACTCAATACAAGGAATTTCATAAGTTGACCTCTGTGACCTGTGACCTTTGACCTACGTACTCCAAAATCTAATCAGATCGTCTTCCTATGGTGATAAATACTATTCCCGAGTCTTAAGTTTAAATCTTAAATGGTTCTTGAGATATTGTGATAACGGTCAAACGGGACGGACGGACGGACGTACGGACGGACGGACGGACGTACGGACGGACGTACGGACGTACGGACGGACAACCCGAAAACATGATGCCTCCGGCACCACCTTCGGTGGCGGAGGCATAAAAAGTACTTGTAACAAATTCATTGGAAAAAGAAAAACAAAGGTTATCA